CCTGACCAACAGGGATCAGTTCCCTCAACAGCTAAGCAGCTACACAATTAGAATTTCGGAACAAACTGTGTAGTGGTATCACTCGATGTCCCTACACTTTCCAAGAACGTCTAAAACGAACAAGCGCTACAGGCTTCATCTGTCATCCTACTATATATAAACGGCAACGTCTGTTTGTCTGTTTGTCTGTTTGTCTGTCTGTCCGGAAATTCGGAATCACCTGAAGAACCAGTTGGAGGGGGCGGGTCAAGGGTGGGTTGGGTAGGGCATGGGTCAAGATGTACGGAACACACATGAACTGAGCTAAGCCCCGCCCACTGTGGGCGGGGCATGCGCACAGTTGTGAGCTACATAGTTCAAAAATTCGTAGTTCGGTTCTAGAAGATCCCGGAGAGCGGAAATTGTGGGAAACGATAAGCAGTCAGTTGGCGGATGAAATGAGGGAGTCACACCCGTGATGGGCGAGGCGTGCTATAGGTGGGCGGTGCTCGCTACACAACTTTCAAAAATTCGTAATTCGGTAGAAGATCCCGGAGAGCGGAAATTGTGGGAAACGATAGGCAAACAGTTGGCGGACGGAATGAATGAAGCACACCCGCGATGGGCAGGGCGTTCGCCGAAGTGAACGGTGCCGGGGACAAAAACCCTCAAAACACATCCGAAAAACTCCAGGAAATGGGGAGTAAGTGAAACTGAGCAATGGTTGGGCAGATGAAGTTAGTAGGGATAACCGTAGGGAGTATACCAAATGGTTGGTGCCGTTTATTCTGCGCTTCCTCATCAGTGACGGGATTGCGGTATAGAAAATTTTGATGACTGTCTTCTAGGGGGGGTATATACAAGCAGTGAAACGGTAAAGTGCGGTAATTCTCAAAACAATTTTTTTTCGACCATTCGGCCGGCGAAGCCGGCCGATCCGACTGGCCCTCCCTCTCATGGAAAACTTCTCACCGGGACCCACTTCACACCCGGAAGGAGGATCGGCCGGCGAAGCCGGCCGATCCGACTGGCCCTCCCTCTCATGGAAAACTTCTCACCGGGACCCACTTCACACCCGGAAGGAGGATCGGCCGGCGAAGCCGGCCGATCCGACTGGTGCTGAGTATTCCTCACCCAGAGTATGATGTGCACTTCGTTAAGTCCAAGGGCGGGGCACGTTACCGCCCTTGGACTTAACGAAGTGCACATCATACTCTGGGTGAGGAATACTGACGTTGCAATATCTTCAAATGGTCAGGACGCTATTATTCTCAAGTCAGAGGTTTGGCAATGGGTCAGCGACTAGCACCAGTACTCGCGATCTGCTTTATGAGCAGAATTGAAGAACCAGTACTGAGTCGCTCTCCTTTGATGTACTGCAGGTATATCGACGACTGCTTCATATGACATCAACACAATCCGAAAGTGGATGAGTGTTTCCGATTACTATGAGCAGTCGCAGTACATTAAGCTCACACGAGAAGTACCAAAACACGGTTGGCTACCATATCTGAATACGCAGGTGAAGCTGTCCAACGGCATTGCTAACGTGAAATGGTACCGCAAACCTAGCTGTAAAAATATCCTGATTCACGCAACGTCTTCACATCCTGCTGCAGTGAAACGTGCAGTCATCAGGAACATGATCAGACAGCAACCACGATGTGTACAGGCGATGAGGAACGACTAGAGTCAAGAGCTCTAGCTTCAAAAATTGCTAGAGAGAATGGTTATGCGGTACGAGACCATCGCAGAACATCGAATGCTAGCCTACGACATGTATTACGACCAGCAAAACAACCCTTATGCGCGTCCCTTTATTTCCGCTAACATGAGCACTGAGACACATCGCAGTATTGTGAAGGCAGTTACAGGAATATGTTGTCTCTGTGAGTACTCCCAACGGCAATATTGAACGCCAACTTGTTGGCAAAGAATACGACAGCCCCTGCTGACACAGCAGACTATGTTACATGCCCATATGGAAAGTTGGGAGATTGTGAAAAAGGTATAAGATAATTTATCAACTTGAATGCCCTTTAATGTAGGGCTTGTAACAGCACTTATATCGGAGAAACAATACTGACATTGCCACGCGCATGAAAGAGCACATAGCTTTGGAGAGGCGTAAATCTATGACCACTCCGTTTGGCAAGCATAAGATTGAGCAGCATAACAGGAGCTACAAGACGGGAACCTCATTTAGAAAAGTCAGGAGTCATTCTTCTTTCTCGAGGATTCTTGCAAGAAAATCAAGAACGAACAAAAACAAGTGTCTGCCGATCACAAATAAATCCTTGCCTTTTGTATCAGAGTGCCAGCCATCAGAGCGTCGTGCGCTACGACAATTTCGCCTTATGCGACACAATGAGATTCAAGTGAGACTCACTGGTCCTTACTAGTTTTACTGACACACAGCGTGAGCTAGGCTCCGTACGGTGAGACTTTCGGTGAGTGCGCATGCGCTTATTGCAGGGTTGCTCTAAACCGTTCGGGAGACGAGGTCGGAAACATTACAATGAGGAGGGCATTTGGTCGGGCTAGTAAATCAAAAGCTTCTAGCCGTTTCCAGGCCTTCGAAGAAGACGAGTGGGCTGAACGTTGGGCCAATAAAAGGTTTTATCTAACAACCTCGTTCGGCAGAAGTAATTGAACATTTGTTATCGTGCCAAGGTTACAACAAGGGACAGTGCAGAGATTATTTACAGCTTCTTTTGAATTCTCGTCCAGATAGTGAGGAATTTCAACGGTTGTTGAAGGTGGGTTGGAACTGCTAAAAAACAAGAATGGCAACTGGAAAAGCATTTTGTGAGAAAAAGCATAGTCAAGCAGCTCCCGAGGGACTACTACTCAGGACGGAATACCAGGTCAATAGATCAGACTATGGAAAGTGATCGATATGCGTGGGCTACCTTGGTAAGATATGAAACAATGAATGGTAGTGTTGATAGGGATTGATCAAGAGGAGGAAAGATTAAGGGAACTTCTTTCCAACAGTGTACATGTAAATGAGTAGCATTTTCCATGGCGATTCGAATGATATAGTACTCAACGAGATGGTCGTTCTACGAGTAGAAGTGAGTTTTCATTATCAAGCGATATGTCGAAGTTGACAGCCGATAGCGGGAAGAAATCTGAAAATTCTTTTTAATTTTTTTACAAATTATTGAACAATATAGGAAGTATTGTATGCTCTCATTCAGCAGAAAGCACTGCCCTGCAGCTGCACATCGGACCTTCTCTTCGAAGTGCAAGAACCTGGATATTCACTCTAATATGAGGCGGAGGTGGTGTAGTGACAAGTGGCGCGCTTACCACTCGCGCGGCGCCGGGTTCGAATCCCGGGTCGACACCCGCCCAGGCCAACCAAGCCTTCTACCCTCCGGGGACGGTAAATTGGTACCAGATTCGTCTGGGAGGATAAAACACTGACTACATCGGCTGGCCACCGCAAGTCATTGTATAGGCCACATCGCATTCAATAAGCCACTACGATTCTGAATGGAAGTAGAATGCGTGCCGCATCCCACAAAGGGATTGATCAACGGCGAAGATCCTTTATCCTTTTTATGTCGGCCTCACTAGAAAACGGCCCGACTTGAAGTTACCGCGCGCTATAGCAATTTTTTTAGATTGCAGAGGCGTTATCGTTCAAAATGGCGTTGGGCCCACCTCATTTCTGTGAGAGTTTGCACCAAAAAGGGGCAGAAGGAGAAGCCATCCATGACATTCAGTATAAATCCGCTCGTCTTGTGCATGGCGAGACGTCGAAGAGTATCTTCTTTTGAACAGTGAACGTGCACATTCTTCTGTGCCAGTATGGCATTTTCGTAAATGTCCGCAGTAGTTGACGGATGAAGCGCATCACGGTTCCGGTGGCAATGTCCCTCCTACACATAATCTCTTCTGGAATGATTGTTCGGCCATCTTCGGCTTTGGGTTCTCTAATGCTTATTCCAAGCAGACGTGCGCTCCAATCGCAGTCAACTTCTCGCGAGCTCATGTTGACCTCCGCCTTTGGATGAAAACAACAGCCAGAGAAATAATTTCGAAACGCAAGCTTCAGCAATGTCCTACCTCTGGCCGCGTTCTACAACAGGCAAAATCTGAGGGAAATCACCGCCGAAAGGCGTGTTTTCCCTGCATGACATCTTTTATGAGATCATCGACTGCTGCTTCCTCGAGGCCATGGAGACTTCATCCCGAATGATAAGCTGAGTCTCATCGGGCTGGTGAGCTTCTTTCTGTTGTCGTCTGTTACCGTCGCCAATCTTCAAAGTTTGAGACTAAATTAAAAGTTCGTCCTCGTGGAAGCAGATTAGCAGCAATCCCAGTCCATGTTATACATATCACCTGACGCCTTCTACTGGCGACGATGTTATACATAATGCTCTATAGGTTGGTCGTACCGCTACCGCCGGGACAGTCAACAAGGATAGGTCTATTCTGTGATCCGTCAAGGCTCCAAGAATATTGTCTGTGGCTGCCTTTTGTTTAGTACTGAGTGTTTCGTACTGGCTCAGTCGCTTCTCGTATAATTTTCGTAGTCGAGCACCACTGTTGGTGCAGCCGGGCATTCCGGGGTAGAAGGAATGCCTATTTCCGTTGAATTCCTGCCCATCCTATCTACTCGATCCAAGACGTTGAAATATACCAAGGCGACAGCATACTCTGAATCAAAACTTTGGTGGTGATCGTCCGACATCGATTCAGCGAATCCCTCCTACAAACCTTGCGCCTGCAGTACTTCGCAAAAACACTGAAGGTATGCGAAAAGCCCCCTCATCGTTGTTGCGGATTGGTAGCTTGCTGTCTCCTGCAAACTCTGCCGAAAGTATCTGTCGTCATCCAAAAACCCAGCAGCTTTCGCTGTATCAGCAAACGACTAGTAGATTCTGCCGTCGACTGTTCGCATGCGTTCAAAAAATGTTCCCCTCTGATGTTGAGGATAAATATCTGCGAGCAGTATCGTTTCTTCATCTCTGGATGACAACGCAAACACCCTAACAAGTAGCTTTCCTCTACATTTTCTCGGTGTCCATCCCCATCGAATGTTGAAAGTTAGGTGCTCTGGCAATTGATAGCACTGATGGTTCAGTGAATAGACAGCATTCGATGGGCAAACTTCCTCCAAGATGGCTACACCTTCGGTTCAGCTCGAAAAAGGCTGTAAGGGTTGTGTAACATTGCTGGGCTCAGATATTATTGTTCTCAGCGTTGCGCGAAGTGAGTGGTTTAAAAGTCCGAAAAATGGGCGGCTAGTCTGTAAATTTGTCTTGCATTTCAAATCAGAAAGCTGGGTTAATGCTTTACGGGGCACATACAGCGACTATTGGGGTGCCGTCTGATCTCATCAACATCCTCGTTTTTGCCCATGTTCTCTTCGGCTTCGATGCCGACGCGAACACGATCGGATCCCCAGGAAATATACTAGAAGAGTAATTTGACAGCCGAAATTATGCCGCAAATTTATGCGTTTATGTGGCAGTCATATTTCAGGATGAGATGTGGATTTGATGGTAACACCCATTCGTCTTCAAAGATGATGCCATTTATTTCGGTCGGTGAGAAGTTACGCCGTCGGTTTTCGGTATAACCCTTCACATTCATAGAGGCCTGCCAATATGTGTTTCGAGAACTCCTTAGAACATGACACACTGTTGGTCCATAGGTCCATATTGTCGAACATGTACGAAGTCACGGCGGTGTACAGCTCGCGCTCGCTTTCCTTATTGGGAACTCTGCCGATATAACTTTGTCTACATATTCCGCCGTGCTATTTTCGAGTCTTCCTTCATGACCAGAGACATATGACAATGCGATTAACCGCGTTTTTGAAATTCGACGACATATTCTTCCACTTCCCCCAGGACGTGTCGTTTAATAAAGCGTCACGAAAATCCCGTACCTTTGAGTTGAACACACGCGCGACTAAATTAGAGCTCTCAAACGCCGTCTACCTATAATAGAGGTTTTCTCGTATTTCTCCCCGTTGTGGGTTGCACCATCGAAATCACGCCATCATGCGCACGACGTTGCACCGCCACCCAGGAAATAAGCTGGCTTCCTGTCGCGCAAAAATAGCTATAGCGTCTTGATACGCCTGCATTGCGCGTGGACTGCATAGCTGGAAGACGACAGTACGATACGGTCTCTAGGAGGTCCTGAACTTTCACCTTTAGCCAAATAGTCCTGCAGTCTTCTTTACAAATCACCATGGAAAATCAGCTGATTTCTTTAAAAATAATGTAGGTGGTACTGCTCGTTTTCACGTACAGCACACTACTGGCGTAGACTTCCCTCGTATAAAACCGGACTGAATGTGTCGCGACTGAGAAAGATACGCGTAATACTCTTTCTGTGTGATGCGGGTTCCAGCTGTATTATAAGGCTAGGCTTATAACCACCCTCTCCAGTCGTGAAGGGGTGCGGGTACGTCAACGGATCATCGATATCGATATTGAAGAGCTGTTTGTCAGATTTGCCACGTAAACGGACTGCGAGACTTCTACGTGCAGGGACATCATAGTTTTCGTACACATCTATCAGTGCAACTCGATTTGCAGTGGGAAAATTATATTGTTGTCACCTTCGAAGGAGATTCGTTAAAGGCCATGCAGTTGTTGACTGGATAAATTATCGCGCTCTGCCATTGCTGTTTTGCTTGTTCTACCTCATGCATCATCTTGAATGATTGGCCGTACGCATGATGTTTGATAGTAGGCCACTAGGGCGCATTAGCTCAGGTCCACACTCAGCGTTCCCTGAGCTGTCAGATCCGTGTCTAACATGTATTTTGACTGTACGTTCTCGGTCTCCTGGGTGTAGACGTCCGCCTATTATAAATCTGACCATGAGTTCGATAACAATACCACCCACGCTCTTGCGTTTCAGCTTGATCACCCACCGGTGCTATCGCCAAAGCGGAGTTTGAAACTTCGTATAGTCTCCAGGAAGCTGTTCTTGCTACGCCGTAGTTCTTCGTTTTGTTCTGTTCGCGGACAAGTAGCTACCGCACTTCTTCAGGAAAGCTATCAAAAAGTTCAGATTGCATCGTACGCGGTTGCAACTCTCCTAGAATTTGCCTGGATGAGTGACCTCGACTCCGCTAGGAAATTGCAGCGCACCACAATCCATATATCGTTGACTGAGCTCGGCAAATAATTTGCTTCTGCTATGAGCGAGCCCAAAGTTTCTCCAGTAGGCTCCGTAGGTCTATTGCGCTGGGCGGGTAGCGGAGGCGGCTGAGTGCAATCTAACAGATGCTTCAAGTCTGTTCTCAAGATTCGGACGCCTCAGATGTGTTTCAGCATCCTCTAGAAGTCGAGCGGGTCGTGCCGCATTACACTCTAGGTCATGCCTCCTCAGTGGACGCGCGGCCCCCGCTTGTCCCTCATTCTTCTATACTTTCAATGTATGTCTTCTTTGCTGAATCCGAGCACTTAGCTGCAACCGTAACTAAGCTCCTCAACGGTTTCTAGTTGCCTTTTTCTCTTTGTCGTTGGACGTTGTTCTCCATCCTATGATCTCATTTCTTAGCGCTCTCCAACTCACATCTGACTCGCTGGACAACGTCTTCTTGCGTCTCTCCTGTTACCTTTGAGCGCTTTCCTGCGGCTAAAATGCGCGCTCTTCGGAGTTCCCATGCTTGCATCTGTGCTGCAGTCTTTGAGCATTCACCTGAAGTCAAACTGTCTGTTCTTGAAAACTTTCAAGCTGGCGCCTTTGCTGCTGCTTCTGAGCGCTCTCTTTCTGCCGGGATGACCGCTCTTTGGAACCTTCGAAATGGCGCCTCTGCTCTGTCGCTCGTGTCGTCCTAGCGTTCTTCTGATGCCGAGGAGGCGACTCTCCCCTGTACTCGTTTTGTCGCCTTGTTGCTGTAGCGCGGATTCCGTTTGAAGCCGAGAAGCCCTCTCTTGTGCCGTTTCACGCTGTCATCTGACTCGGAGACGCTCTCTTTCGCTGGTGTAAATGCGGGGTCTCGTCGCTCGTGTTCGCTGCACCATGTTCTACAGTGGTGCGCTGCTGGAAACTTGAGGTACTGAACCATCATACAATTCGTCAATAATAATAAAGATCACTCAATCACGAAAAGGTGTGAGAAGCTGAGGCTTGTTGGGATTCTTTCCCGCTGTCTCACGGGCGAGAGACAGGGGAGAAGAATCCCAAAAAGGATGCTCGTTGTTGAAGGAAGACTGAAAGTTTGATTGCATTTACACCGTGCGGCTCTTAAGGTTCGACGTTATTGTTGGTTGATGTCTCGTCTTTTCAGACTGCGCGGGAACATGTGTAGAATTGTGCACTTCAGCATGGATGACGTGTAAGACTCGATAACACTTTCTTTCGAATGTCATTATCGGCTCTCAATTTATATATTTTCTTGATACTTATCAATGTCTTGCTCCTCTCAGTGTGATTTGCTGGTAGCGAAGTTCCCTCGCTGCTTCAACGGGACGCTCACAACTTGCTCGTAATTCTTTTTGACACCTCCTATCAGCTGCTGCAAATCATCACCTTTTTTACCTTTCATCACGGTGCCCACGTCCAAACTCCTGGACAGCTCCTTCAAACCCAGTACCATTTTGGCTGACGCGCACTTCTGCGTTCAGTTCATGGCTGTGAGTTTTGGTGATCCTCCCCTTTCGAGGTCCCTTGTAAGCCCTTGTCAGCTGCTACCACCTCCTACCACCCACCAATAAGGTTCACGTCCAGTCCCATATTTCCTTTCTTGGAGCCAACGTTCCTGTTGCTGTGACGTGAGTTATGAACTTTGGTGACGCTCTCCTTCTAAGGCCCCTTGTAAGCCCTTGTTAGCTGTTATCATTTCCTGCCGCCGACCAATAACGTTCTGATTGACCTCCTACATCACCTATCAATTTGAACTCTCTGCGACTGATTCGAAGGAAGTTATGAATTTAAGGTCAACACACACACACACACACACACAAACACTTAGCGAATTATGTGTTATACATATCATTACAGGGGGCGCCAATCATAGCGAACGATCATCAGTTCTACACATCAACGCAACAGCCCGCCCAGTTACTAAGCAATATCCCCCCAAGTGGGATAATGCACAACTGTTTAGTTTGACTGCATCATCGATAGCAACGAAATGGCATATCTTCAGGACACATCGAATTCATCCCTCTGAGTGCAAAATGAATTGTTATCGCAAATGCTGGTGCTAAAACACTGAGTATCATAAATGTTGGGTTGGCCCATAAAAGATGGCTTTTTTCAACCTAGAATTTCAAAATTTCAAACGATGGAACGCTCCACTAGTGCTTTCCACATTACACGATAGTGAATTTCTCGCTCAGCAAGAGGGCATACTAAGACTTTCTGACTTTAATTTTTTGTCATTCTTAAGTGGTTAAATTGGAGGGTTTGGTCGAGAAAAACGAATCATTTTTGAGACTCACTTTTTTGCGTCCGTGAAATACGTGACCAAGAGGCGGTGTCTACTAGGAAGGCTCAAGTTTGGTTCATACGAGTCTTTAATTTCAGATTCGATTTCGCTTACAAACATCACATAGGGTACCTTATTCAGTTCGATTAAAAGCTCACTGAAGCATTTTCTTCACGAATACATACGAAAGGTTCACGAATACCTAAGAAAGATATCAAAGAAAAGTTCTGGAATGACTGCACACCTCTACATGGTGGGAGAGCTTGAAAGTTTTGGTGTGCTGAGTCCGCATGCAGTTGCTCCCGAGAGGGTGCCCAGTGATACAAATTCCCACCTCTGAATCGCTTGAGAACCGACCTTGATTATTCATAGGATGCGTCCTTTGACCATATACTTCACAAGTCTTGAGCTGGTTTTGTTGATTCACTACCTTGATTAAGCGAAAAATGTTTCTGCCAAAAACGCTCATTTTCGTCACCTCGAAAACAGATTCATGCTCGGAATTGTGCATATCCAGATCAGAACAGAAAGCTAGGCAGGCTTCCTGTGGAGTACAAAGTCTCCTATGGAATCACATAGAGAACGTTGAAAATGCTTCATTTCTCACACGAAATTCTATCTGAGGAAAAAACCTTATTGATGAGCCAGCCCAATGCTGTGACAGAAACGAAGACACCCCCAAATCTTCAGTATCCCGAAATCGCTGAGCTTTTTACAAATCCTGTGGTTATCGGTGAATTACGCATGATGACTTCAGCTACAGCTGCCCAGTTCTCCTCCTGCTATGAACCCTCAAAAATGGTCCTCTTTCCGAGTGAACTATGCCCGTGGTCGCTCACAATATAAATGGACCTCTTCTTCAGAAGGGTAAGCAACACTAGACATCATGGCCACAAAATGTCATATTATACATTCTCATATTTTTCATAAGAACGTGATTATACGTTCTTATTTTTAGTTCATAAGAACGTGCGCGAGATTTTCCCGCATTAAGAAAAAACTGGTGACGTGACCTTTTTCGAATTGCTAGCAAGTTTAAAGAGGCAAATCCTTGAGCCCAATGGCATTAATTGAGTTGGGGACAACATTCTTGTAAATCATGGCGATCATACGAAAATACCTCGCAAAATGATGTCA